GACTGGATGCCCAGAAACCAACATGGACAGCTATACATATAAAGGAGCTCAGTGCTCTTATTCAAGTCAGGAAGTAGTTATTGGTCAATTCCATTAACCCCTTCCATCTCTGTCCAGGCCACAGCAGCTGGATCTGGAGCTCCCATGATGCCTACCATGATGATGGGACAGCCAATGATGGGTCAACCCATGAGACCACCCCGGCCAGGAGCCGCAGCACCAGGGGCACCGGTAACGCACACACATGCACACACAAACGCACGCACACAGATACACACTCATATTCATTCTCAGATACTTTTTTTCCACACCCTCAAACACATACACAGGAGAGTGCACATAAGTATACAGAATCACCTGTTACTCCTTCAGTTATAAACCTATTTAAAGGGGGAAATGTACTAATACAGTGGGGGGGAAAAGTATTTAGTCAGCCACCAATTGTGCAAGTTCTCCCACTTAAAAAGATGAGAGAGGCCTGTAATTTTCATCATAGGTACACGTCAACTATGACAGACAAATTGAGAAATAAAAATTGTAGGATTTTTAATGAATTTATTTGCAAATTATGGTGGAAAATAAGTATTTGGTCACCTACAAACAAGCAACATTTCTGGCTTTCACAGACCTGTAACTTCTTCTTTAAGAGGCTCCTCTGTCCTCCACTCGTTACCTGTATTAATGGCACCTGTTTGAACTTGTTATCAGTATAAAAGACACCTGTCCACAACCTCAAACAGTCACACTCCAAACTCCACTATGGCCAAGACCAAAGAGCTGTCAAAGGACACCAGAAACAAAATTGTAGACCTGCACCAGGCTGGGAAGACTGAATCTGCAATAGGTAAGCAGCTTGGTTTGAAGAAATCAACTGTGGGAGCAATTATTAGGAAATGGAAGACATACAAGACCACTGATAATCTCCCTCGATCTGGGGCTCCACGCAAGATCTCACCCCGTGGGGTCAAAATGATGACAAGAACAGTGAGCAAAAATCGCAGAACCACACGGGGGGACCTAGTGAATGACCTGCAGAGAGCTGGGACCAAAGTAACAAAGCCTACCATCAGTAACACACTACGCCGCCAGGGACTCAAATCCTGCAGTGCAAGACGTGTCCCCCTGCTTAAGCCAGTACATGTCCAGGCCCGTCTGAAGTTTGCTAGAGTGCATTTGGATGATCCAGAAGAGGATTGGGAGAATGTCATATGGTCAGATGAAACCAAAATATAACTTTTTGGTAAAAACTCAACTCGTCGTGTTTGGAGGACAAAGAATGCTGAGTTGCATCCAAAGAACACCATACCTACTGTGAAGCATGGGGGTGGAAACATCATGCTTTGGGGCTGTTTTTCTGCAAAGGGACCAGGACGACTGATCCGTGTAAAGGAAAGAATGAATGGGGCCATGTATCGTGAGATTTTGAGTGAAAACCTCCTTCCATCAGCAAGGGCATTGAAGATGAAACGTGGCTGGGTCTTTCAGCATGACAATGATCCCAAACACACCGCCCGGGCAACGAAGGAGTGGCTTCGTAAGAAGCATTTCAAGGTCCTGGAGTGGCCTAGCCAGTCTCCAGATCTCAACCCCATAGAAAATCTTTGGATTGAGTTGAAAGTCTGTGTTGCCCAGCGACAGCCCCAAAACATCACTGCTCTAGAGGAGATCTGCATGGAGGAATGGGCCAAAATACCAGCAACAGTGTGTGAAAACCTTGTGAAGACTTACAGAAAATGTTTGACCTGTGTCATTGCCAACAAAGGGTATATAACAAAGTATTGAGAAACATTTGTTATTGACCAAATACTTATTTTCCACCATAATTTGCAAATAGATTCATTAGAAATCCTACAATGTGATTTTCTGGAGAAAAAAAATCTCATTTTGTCTGTCATAGTTGACGTGTACCTATGATGAAAATTACAGGCCTCTCTCATCTTTTTAAGTCGGAGAACTTGCACAATTGGTGGCTGACTAAATACTTTTTTTCCCCACTGTATATTCTTCATTAGTCCACTTTTGATACAGTCCCATAAAATGATGCATGTCAACATTCATTTTTTAAAGATATATTGCTTTTAGTCTCCTGATGACCAAAATCAAAGTGCAAAACATCATCATAACACTTTTCTACAAAGTAAACACAGGCTTGCTATTAGGAAAGCTATGAGGCTTGTATGAGCAAAATACAAATATTTTAAAGGCAATGTTTTTGAAGTGGTACTCAATTAGTTTTTCTGTTTTCCAGCTGTCTCCAGGACCTGCTGCCACCCAGAGCAAAAAGCCCAAGGACCCACTGGCAGACCTCAACCTCAAGGACTTAATGTGATCCCCCAGCCCAGGTATGTGTTCAGGACATTCAGCTGTCATCTTGGTGTGATGCTAGTCTTGCCTGGTCTCAGATCTGTTTGTGCGGTTTTGACAACTTATGATCATTGTCATATCAATGACTTTAAGAGTTGGTTATACAGCACAAAGAGATCTGGGACCAGGCTAATGCTAGTCTTGTGTCAGTGGTCAAACTTTAGGGTATGTTCTTCTCCTTATTGTCTTCCAGCTCTTGTTTTTCTGGAGCTGGGCCCTCTGGCCGCCTGTCCTATTCTGGCGTTCTGTACATCCCGGGACACCAGAGACCCTCCTCAGCTACTCACCCATAGAAGACCCCCTTCCTCCACCCCAGTCCCCTGTGTAATGTTGTAGCACCAACTGTGAAAGTGAAACCTTAGCGAGAAAAAAAACAAGTGTGTGCTTAACTAGATGTAACCCTTTGTCTAAACAAAACCACACAAAACCAACAAAAAAAAAGGTCTATAAAAGCAAGCCAGAAAACTGAGCAGAAGCTGAAGGCGTATGTGCTTATGTATTTAGATAATTTTTTCCAGTAGTGTTGGCGTGTTGAGTTGAATGATGGATGCGTGTTTGTTTGATACCCTCAGCTCCACCTTCGGCCCTGCACTGGCCTTCTGATCACTCTAGAGGGGGAGGGGCTTCCACCCTGCCTCACCCTGATTGGATAAGAGGGGTAAGCAAAGCAGGCCCGTAAGTTTTGGATGAAACGTGCAATGTGTCGTTGGCAGAAGTTCTTCTTCGTTGGTGTATATTCATTTCACTGGCAAATCTCTAAGGATTTTGTCTCTACTCTATATGTCTGTGGAAGAGCATATTGATGTGAATCTGATATCAAATTGTAAGAAGTCATGTGACCATTATCTTATTTCCGTCATCTTTTGAACGTATTTAGAAACAAATATGATATGAACATATGATTAATATGATTAAGAAACATGTACGGGCTCCTGAATTCTAAATGACCATCCAATGATTTTTTTATGATGTTCAGTATATTTATTCATTTCTTTAGTCATCGCTTATTTTTCTATTGATTTTTTTAGATTTTGCGTGTCATGTCCAGCTTTATTTGTACTTTCTCTCTCTGTTGACATTGTTTGTGAATCTGCTGTAAAACACTGTCGGATATTTTTTATCAACAGATCATATCTTACCGCTTATTTTCAGAGAAAATGTGTTTATATTTTAGTTATTCCTATTCAAGATAAAGGTCAAACAGTGCATATCAGGAGCCAAATCTTGCCAGTATCTCATATCTCAATACAGAGGAGAACAGTCTTTTGTTAAACCACTAAAACAAGTTCTGTACAGTTAGTCTACTTCCTGGTATCACTTGCACACTCCCTATGGACCTATCACTGTCCTCATCAATGGTCTGTTGTTTGATTTTCATAATTGCTCGTACTTTATTATCATTATTACTATGACTAGACCACGGTTGGTACTGTATATGTAGTGTTATTTTTGTATTTGAGAAGAAACAGAAACATCCTTATCTCCCTATTCCCCCACCCCAGATGTTGCTACATGTTTCTGTTCCGTTTCCTCCCCCCTTGTTAGAGAATCAGTAATATTGTACATGGTAACATGGGCGGAGAGGAGAGCCTGTGTATACCCAGTCAGAAGAGGACACTGTTGAGCAGCTGTTTAGAACCAGTGAAACCAGTCCTGTGCTGTACACCCCCCAGATATAACGGATACTGTGTTGTGTCATTGCAAGACTGTTTTGACAATTGTTGTGAGAAACAATATGGATTACAAAAATGGGAAAACATACTGTTTTTCATTATTGAGTTCAATTTTTTCAATATTTTATTATTATTATTATTATTTACAATGCCCCTCCCCAGTGCATGTAAGCCCTTTGAGATGCAATAAACTCAATGATGGAAAGAATAACCCATTAATGATGTACTGTTTATTTTTCTCATATTGATAGATCAGATCATGGGCGCATTGTATTTTTAATCTGGTGCACTAAATGTCATGACATAGCAATGACATCAATAGGTGTAAGCTGGGTTGTGTTCATTAGGGCGCACAACTGAAAACATTTTAAAATGTAAATGACTGTTTCTTATTGGACAAGTCCAAGTGGTCCCTCCATGTTTCAGTTTGTTTTCTTCCATTTGGTGCCTAATGAACATGACTCTAGCTACAGGTATATATACATACAGTACACCACTTCTCCTCATGGTAAACACACATACACATACAAGTTGTAATCTTGGTTTAATTGTTGTTTTTTCAATCATGGTGAAATGTTATTAATTTAATGTAATCATCAATGGCAAACTCGTATAAATTGTGGCACATAATAAGATTCATCAACATGAACACTTTAGAATGATGATTGTTATCACATAACACTATGGCATTTGTTGTCACCACTACCCTTCAAATTACATGAATCTAATGGAAAACTGAATATCGAATTAACGTTATTAATCTGCAACCTCTGTTACATCAAACCCACTGTGTAGCCTCACATTAAATACATAGTTACAGTACTAGGCTATCAAAAATATATTCCGATAGGTGTCCCCAAAGGTTACAATTTCATATGAATTAAATTAGCACCAAGTCTCTGGATAAGCACCATTATATTTATGTGCATGGCACACTGCTAGAGTTAAAAAAGAACGTACGGTAGGATCCTTCTGGAACATTTCACTATTTAGTCATAGAAACATCATCTTATAAGAAAAGGTAGTTTTACAAAAAGGGACATTACAGGAAACTCAGAGAGCTAAATATACATTATTTCAAACACCAGCACTATTTTATTTATTTTTTATTTTGATTTAGAAATTATTTAGAAAAAAGATAGTTATAACCTCTTAATATACTTGAATGTTAATTTCTCCGAAAAAATGTAGCTTTTTTCTGGGTCGTTCACCAATGCCAATGCAAACTTTCTTGCTCCTTTTGCTAGAAAACGGAACACATTTGAAAATGTTAACGTCTCTGCATTAATTAAGCCTGCCTGGAATATATGAAATAACAAGCATCGCTCCCCTGAAACAGCTGAATATACAAAATGTTATCAAAATTGGTCAAACCTAAAAATCAGTCATAATATTCCCGTAAGCATGAACACAGACCTAGTAGGATAATAATCATGATATTCATAAATTTCTAGAATGTTTGCTTTTTAATAATTAAATAAATTAGACGAGGCAGAACAGCCATAGTTCTCTTTGATCTGTTGACGAGTTCCTGTAATCAACAACAGTGAGTCTGTATGGCCGCTTGTGTGCGATGAATGCTGTCATGAGGCAATCTGTGCCAGTTGCCAGTGGGAAGCACAGGAGGTAATAGAGAAGAAGACAGAGGAGAGTCAGTCGGGCGGGCCCCTGGTTCGTTGGTGATGAAGGGTGGAGGAGTGTTGTGGCATGTTGTGTGTCCCTCAGGCGTCCCGGCACTTGCTGGAGTCCCCATGGATCCAGTAACAGATCTGGGCATACTTGAGGGGCGTTATCCTCACCGCCACGTTGTAATCCTGCTGCGCCCCTTTGCCGTTGACGTCCACCCACTGGTGGCCCGAGAACACACCGATGATCTTCCTCTTCCACTTCTTCTTGCCGGGCTCTTTTAGGCGGATGTAGACCCCGGAGCCGCTGGAGCCGGGCTTGGCGTCGCAGTACTGATACAGCAGGTCTTTGGACTCCTCCGACACCGAACAGAAGCGGTACACCAAGTTGCCGGGCCGGTCGTCGTCGAAGCCTGAGAAGTGGATCCTGCCGGCGGGCAGCTTCTTGACCGAGGGGATGACGCCTAGGTCCATGTGCTTGACCTTCTGGGCCTTCTTCAGCTCCAGCACGGCATAGTCGTAGTCAGCCGCCACACCGTCCGACGCCCCGCCTTTGAACCAGCCTTTAGGGACCTGGGTCTGCTTCACTCTGGTCCACCGGAAGGATGGCTTCTCGACCTCTGCGCTGCGACGACTGCGGCTCTTTCTGTCTTTCCCTTTCCCTCCTTTCCTCTCTTTCCCTCCATCTTTCTCTTCTTTCTCTTCCTCTTCCTTGTCTTCTCCTCCTATCCTCCTCTTGCCTTTCCCCCGTCCTCTCTTCCCCTTCCCTCCTTTCCCACGCCGGGATTTCTCCTTGAGGACGCCCACGCGTAGCTTCTTTGCTCCACTCACGTAGTCCTGTCCGTCGTGGATGCAGTGGGCGGCCGTCAGGACGTGTTTGGGGGATAACAGGACACCAGAGCAGCCCGTGGAGATCTTAACGGAGGTGGAGAAGGGGTACTTAGTGGAGAACTGCTTGTCAGCGATGCTGAAGCGGGTGTCGGTGCCGTAGACCTCCCGTTTGCGGCGTGACTTGGAGGAAGAGGAGGAGTTCCCAGCAGGCCATGCGTTGACCTCGTTGAGGCTCTGCACAGACACGGAGGTCAGGGTGCGCGTTCCGTTCTCGTACACCGTCTCATAGGACAGGAACTCCTCCAGGTCAGCCAGAGAGGGGTCGGGGAGGCGACGCTGGCACTCAATTCCACAGGTCCCGTTCAGCTCTCCCTGAGGTTTGGCCGTGAAGCCGGGGCTGCTAAGGGCCACCGTCCTCCTGTTCCTCACCAGCGGCACCTTCCACTGCGGCCAGGTAAACTCATCATTTCCTCCTGTGGCCTCCTGGGCTTCCACAGCCACCACCACGACCAGCAACGTCACTGAGAGCAGGAGACACAGGGGTACGGGGCCCATTGCACAGAAGGGCCTGGCTCTGGAGGGGAGAGGAGAGAAAGACACTATAAGGGATGGTGGAGAACGCTGAGGTGCTAATACAGTCTATGCGTTGTCAAAATGCATGAAGGGCTTTTCAAATGGCTTCACATGTCTCTACTGAATAGAATAGACGGAAAGAGACAAACATGTGCTTGCTGCTCTACTCCCATAACACACACACAAGCAGTATAGGCAACTAAATCTGAGATGGGTTAGTAAAAACTTTCTACTGAAACACATGTCATGTGGTTATTACAGAAACCACTGTTGGCAATTTACAGTTTGAGGCATCCATCTGTTGTTGGTCAAACTTCTCATCTGGGATGGGATGGCATTTCATTTGGAGGGTATTTTTATAGGTCTGACTCTGAATAGAAACAGACTCAGACAAAGATAAATGAGGTCAAAACCCCCCCCCCCCCCTTCCCCAAATTACATCCAGCCCCAAATTCAGAGCACTGAGACGAAGCAAAGCTGTCAAAAAAGTGGGCTGTGTCTGTGGCTAACAAAAGACACAAGATACCAGCATCAAACTCCTTGTTTACTAGCACAGTTGTTTATTTCTGTTTTTCATGGACACAACCATCTTCAAAATGCTCATGTCAACAAAAAGAAGGGGTAGCAGCAACTTCATATGGAAACGATTAAATATAACCAATAGAATAACCAACAGTCTCTCAAGAAATCATAGCATTTCATTTAGTTGACATAGGAGCTGTGTGGTTGAGGAGATTTATGGAGCTTGAGGCTGAGTGACGGCTGTGGCCAGTGGGGAAGAGAGGAGGAGGAGAGGACCATCCCCGGGGCTCTGACTGTACTGAGATGGTGGCTTGGAGCTTAGCCACATGGTTAGCCTTTAGCTATCAGTAATGACCATATCTGGTTTCTCCCTGACTCTATTGCTGCTCTCTGCTTCGTTCAGCCCACTATCTGAAGACGTAGGCCGACATGACATCACACAAGAGGAGAGTTAGACTGTGGCCAAACTGAGGGAGCAACTCGCTAAGTGTGATGGGGCTGACAGCTGTGGAGGAAATGTTAATTCAGGGCATTTTATTTATTCAACAGACCATCACTTCACTACTGAGCAGAGAAATAGCACTTTGTCAGCAGCTGCGTCGATGCAGCTCAACCGCAATTCTATACAGAGAATAGAACGGGGGGAAGTCATTTGAGCTACATTGCAGTTCATAAAGGGGCCTAAGCAGTAGTGCTGTAGTGCAGTAGTGCACTAAATAGCCTTTGGCATGCTGGCTAACATCTGGCCTTCCAGCTGGAGGCCGAGCCTGTGAGGGAGGGGCGAGCGTTGGTGGCCAGGGGTCTTCCTCGCATTCCCATTCAATTAGATGCTAGGCAGTGTGAAAATGAAAAGCCGCCAGGCGTGGCACGGATGAAGGAGACGGATGGTAGGAAATAATCCCATCAAAGGATATGCTGTTGCATCACCTACCATAGGCTACAGGGGGCCAGGCCAGTTTGGCATTATTTACATTTACATTTTAGTCATTTAGCAGACGCTCTTATCCAGAGCGACTTACAGTTAGTGAGTGCATACATTATTTTTTTGTATTTTGTATTTTATTTCATACTGGCCCCCCGAGGGAATCGAACCCACAACCCTGGCGTTGCAAACGCCATGCTCTACCAACTGAGCTACATCCCTGCCGGCCTTTCCCTCCCATACCCTGGATGACGCTGGGCCAATTGTGCGCCGCCCCATGGGTCTCCCGGTCGCGAAGTTATTCTTCTTCCACCTCATGTAGCAAACCATATGCCCTGCCTGTTTCAGACAAGTGGTATGTCTACTGTAAGGGCAAAGGTCACACATGATCTATCCCAGAATAGCATGTATTATGCCATGTTATGTAATCTTAATGCAGTTCTGTCAATGTTAGGTCATGACACATGAGTATTCTGACTCAATGGCCTCAGTTTTCATCTACAAATCAAATCACTCAACTGTGGATGGGAAAGCCATGTACACAACACCATACATCTTCAAATCAACCTTAACCTTAAATGAAACAAGGTAGAATATAAAAAATGACATTAGAATGACTCAATGCATTAGAAATGTGATGTCAGGAATTTGACCCAGGTTTCTGGCCAACCAGACACATTTTCCCAGACCAAGAAATAGCAAATTCAACAGAAAAGTGAAATTATTGAGGATAGAGTGGAAACTGATATGTTGCCAGTATAATTTTCTGTTAAACATGGCCTGCATTTAACTGAGCGGTTTTCCATTACAGTATAATCTCTCAAACGCCATCCTCCACTCCAGCACATGGTCAAAAGAATCCCGCACAGGGCCACCAAAAGATGGTGCTAGAGTGCAATCTCTCTCGCGCGCTCCTTCATTTCTTTGTTCATAATTCGGATTTTTTATGGGAAAATATCCTCTAAACTCTTTGTGGAAAAATGTCGATACAATAAAAATCACTGCAAGCAAGGGTGTCCTCTTGGTCCTAAAGTAGCACTAACTTCAGTAATTGTGATGCAAATATGTTTTTGCAAATAACTTTAGACTATCACACAACCTATCTTGGAAATGGAAAATGGTTATCAATAAAGCCATGAGTTGGCTATTAATATAAACATTCTTAATAACCTCGCAAAATAGGTTTCAAATCTCAAGGTTAAATAAATGATGTGCATTATAAATAATTGTTTTATGCTACTATATCAAAAATATTTTATTTTTAAGAACTCCATGGGGAAAAATATATACAAGACTGTAGCCAACGAAACAATAATAAAATAAAATTAGTTAATTAATTAACCTACCACATTTTCATGTAAAAAGCTAACTGTCACGTATTCCATATTGTTGTCTCAATGACTACTTAGATAGTAAAACATTTACTTTAACGAATGGCAAACAAATATAAAGTATAATCCAAAACAATATTAGGCAAGTAATGAATAGAATATAATGAAAATTCCCATCAATATATAATTTAGCAATATCACCAGTGCTAACCCAGACCACCAGAAATCAAGAAAATAGATAAAAAACCGTATTATGAAAATAATGAAGTGAGAGTCTCATTGTCTAAGTGGCTCCATCAATAAAATAAACAAAAGGCTCTGCAGCTCCATACCTGCTTGCATTCGATTGATTGATATGACAAATCCGCAATGTATTGTTTGTTTTTTATTTCCAGAAAGAAACTGCTATTGCATCTCAGACGTCTTCTTATCAGTGGACGAAAGTTCCCTTCTCCTCATCGCATTTGCACCAAAGAGGCTGAGGGAAAGTCGCAGCAGCCAGAGCCCTCCGTGCGGACTGCACTTGATGCTGAGAGAGGGAGGAGGGAAGAAAAGTCTGAATATGTTTTCACTTGCGACAAAGCTCTTTACATAGGCCTACATGGGAGTGACCAGCCGGTTCATCTAAAAGGGCTGGATTGAATGAGTGTTTTTCAGTCCATGCAACCCAATAGTCCTATATGGTCGTCAATGGGATGGTGCGCTCATGAGATGCTGCTGCGCCCTATGAAATAAATATTCAATTGCAGTTTCATTCTATTTCTATTCAATGGAGCTTCCATTGGACCGGGGACTGGAATTAGTTCCAGGGAGCCCACGATGGCCATCGCAGACTGTTTTCATTGTGGCCCGTCTGAACTTCCACATCTGCTGCACTTGTCTATGTGCTCGATGAAGTGGTAAACACACTGGCGGGGAGTCTTTGCGCTGTATGCACCCATGCTGTGACAGAGAGTATAATTCACGAAAACATGCCTAGAATTGTGAAGCTAACTGTCCGACGGGGTGCAGAGCAACTGAATGGATGCTCATTTTCAGTTTTATAGGGAGGTTGTGCTTCACTTGGACGTGCATCTGTCCACACATGCATCATGTGTAAAGATAAAGTGAACTACCCACACTAATCAGAGGAGGCTGGTTGGAGGAGTTATGAGGATAGGCTCATTGTAAAGACTGGAATGGAATACATGAAAAGGTATCAAACATATGGATACCACATTTGACTCCATTCCTTGAATTCCATTCCAGCCATTACAATGAGCCCATCCTCCTCTAGCTCCTCCCACCAGCCTCCTCTGCCACACTTGGCTATCCATGCACTGTAAAAAAGCAAACTTAACCAATTGCTTAATCAGCATTATTCTGTGAGTTGGGTGGACTTCAGAAGAACAAGAAATTGAGCTAATGTGTGAACGTTTTCACTAAAACTTTGCTCACAGTGAGCTGAATGTATAAACACTTTTGAGTGGAATTATAAATTAATGTTTGGAAAAGAACACTGTAGTGGAGAGTGGGGTAAGCTGAGACAAAGGGTTAGTTGAGCCTCCCCTTGTTTCTAGGAAACCATACACAAAATGAATCATATGACCAAATATTTAGGAAGAGGTCATCATTTAATGGAATCTGTGAAGGAAGATACCACATGGAAAAAGTGGCAAGCAAGTTAGCTCCAAAAAACAGATTTTCACAAATTCAAATTAATTTATGTTATAGGTTTCATGAGCTTGTATCGAAACCAAAGATAGATTGTTTTATACATCAATTGGGGTCTCTATAAGCTACAATATGAGGTCCTAAACCTAGCATGAAAGTGCATCCCTGTAGCTGTGTGGGCTAATAAAGTCAAAATGTTTGCCTTTGTGTAAGTTGAGCCAATGGCCACCATACCCCATACAAATGATGATTACATTGTCAGTTTTATGCAATGTGTCATGCATATAAACGCAAGATAGTGCATTCTTATTGTTACAGAGTGGGCATCATCATGCCCCTTGTTTACAAACGTAAAAGTCCATTCGAGCAGCAGCAAGAGCACAATTCACTGAATAACACTGAAGAGGTACATTGACAAAAAAGAAAAACCAACATGTACCTGTGCGATAGAGGCTATGATAGAGTAGCAGAGGCACACAAGGTCTTATCTGATGACATGGAGTCTGAGCTTGCTAAACATATCAAGAAACTCTTGGATCAATTTCATGGGCTCAGTAGCCTCAAATGCAAACAACATCTATGTCCCAGACAACTGCTCAAGTAATGGAATGGTAAGTGATACAGAGAGATCTATATCTGAATGTCAAATCATAGTTTATTGATTGCGTACACAGTTTAGCAGATGTTATAGCAGGTGCAGCGAAATGCTAGCTCCTAACAATGCAGTATAATGTCAAACAATAGACAAATAACAATAAAGAAAACTACAACAAGACATCAAGAAATGTCGGAACGAATCAAATTAACAACCCAAATAGCACTGTAACAATAATCTAAATATAATCTTCTGTATATGTATATACTGTACACCGGATGAATTTACACAATATATACTAAGAATGATATGTACAGCAGTAGATACAGTTGAAGTCGGAAGTTTACATACACCTTAGCCAAATACATTTAAACTCAGTTTTTCACAATTCCTGACATTTAATCCTAGTAAAAATTCCCTGTTTTGGGTCAGTTAGGATCACCACTTTATTTTAAGAATGTGAAATGTCAGAATAATTTCAGCTTTTATTTCTTTCATCACATTCCCAGTGGGTCAGAAGTTTACATACACTCAATTAGTATTTGGTAGCATTGCTTTTAAATTGTTTAACTTGGGTCAAACGTTTCGGGTAGCCTTCCTCAAGCTTCCCACAATAAGTTGGGAGGATTTTGGCCAATTCCTCCTGACAGAGCTGGTGTAACTGAGTCAGGTTTGTAGGCCTCCTTGCTCGCACACGCTTTTTCAGTTCTGCCCACAAATTTCAAATATAAGATTGAGGTCAGGGCTTTGTGATGGCCACTCCAATACCTTGACGTTGTTGTCCTTAAGCCATTTTGCCACAACTTTGGAAGTATGCTTGGGGTCGTTGTCCATTTGGAAGACCCATTTGCGACCAAGCTTTAACTTCCTGACTGATGTCTTGAGATGTTGCTTCAATATATCCACGTCATTTTCCTTCCTCATGATGCCATCTATTTTGTGAAGTGCACCAGTCCCTCCTGCAGCAAAGCACCCCCACAGCATGATGCTGCCACCCCCATGCTTCATGGTTGGGATGGTGTGCTTCGGCTTGCAAGCATCCCCCTTTTTCCTCCAAACATAACGATGGTCATTATGGCCAAACAGTTCTATTTTTGTTTCATCAGACCAGAGGACATTTCTCCAAAAAGTACGATCTTTGTCCACATGTGCAGTTGCAAACCGTAGTCTGGCTTTTTTATGGCGGTTTTGGAGCAGTGGCTTCGTCCTTGCTGAGCGGCCTTTCAGGTTATGTCGATATGTGACTCATTTTACTGTGGATATAGATAATTTTGTACCTGTTTCCTCCAGCATCTTCACAAGGTCCTTTGCTGTTGTTCTGGGATTGATTTGCACATCTCTAGGAGACAGAACGCGTCTCCTTCCTGAGCAGTATGGCGGCTGCGTGGTCCCATGGTGTTTATACTTGCGTACTATTGTTTGTACTGATGAAGGTGGTACCTTCAGGCGTTTGGAAATTGCTCAGAAGGATGAACCAGACTTTTGGAGGTCCACCATCTTTTTTCTGAGGTCTTGGCTGATTTCTTTAGATTTTCCCAAAATGCCAAAACTATAGTTTGTTAGTGGTTGATAAACAAGTTTTAATGACTCCAACCTAAGTGTATGTAAACTTCCGACTTCAACTGTATATTAGAGTGAGCTATGTCAAGAATCCAGTATATAAATAAATATGCGGTGTGTATAAACAAAAATATAAACACAACATGTAAAGTTTCATGAGCTGAAATAAAATGTCACAT